AATCCCCATACTCTGTTTATAGAAGAAATAAAAACAATCAGGAACATGCTCCACTGTCATATCTACCACCTTCTACTACACATTTTCATATTTTCCACCTTACCCTGTGATTAGCAGTACATATGCCTGGAGGCCCATCTCTCTCATCTACTAGATTCCATTCCTTTTGATCTTCTCAAGTGCATGACTACAACTATATCCTGTCTTTCCTCAAACATCATCTTCCCACCCCCTGCCCAAAGTGGGTCATTCCTATCATCAATACAAAAAACAAGATAGCTTACTCCCTCTACCCCACCCCCGACAAAAATCCTACAGCCACTTCTTATACTTTTCTCCTCTCCCCCAGCTCCAGCTCCATTTCTCTGCTGCCTTGCAGGAAGACTTGGAAGACTTGAAAGTTTCCAATATTTCTCTTTCCATTTGCATTCTTAACATTTCCTCACCCATTTTTTTTAACCTTTAAAATTGTGATCCTGGCCCTCCCTGGTGGCACAGTGGGTTAAAGCACTGCACGAAAAAGCTAAAGCCACTTCCTCATGAGTTCGATTCCCGCCTGCCCTGGAGGTGTCCACATGGCGTGGCAGACCTCTCCTGACCCGCCCGCTGCTCCCCTCAGCAGTGTAATTCCTTGATCTGCCTGTTCTGCTCCCCACTCTGTCTCTGGAGAAGCCTCTTGCCGCCCCTGAGCCTCTGGCCTGTACCCCAGTTCTGTATGCACAAATAAATAAATCTTAAAAAAAAAAAATTGTGATCCTACTAAGAAATGTTGAAAGAATAAACACCTAAGTCCATAAATTATTTATAATAATTAGCATTTGGCCACCTTTGCTTTATTTCACTTTCTGTACCTATGCACACACACATGCTCTTTTAGAGAATGAACCCTCCAAAGTAAGTTGCAGATGATGATACTTAACCCTATTTCAACATCTATTTCCTAAGAACCAAATACTCTATTAAACTGAGGAAACTGTTAGCATGGATTTAGTATGGTTATTTAAAATGAAATTCATATTCAAAATTTTCTAAATGTCTCCAAAATGTCCTTCACAGCAGTACTTTTGCTTTTTTGGCTTGATAAAGAATTCAATTAAACTTCATGCATTGTTCTTGCTATGACTCTTAGATTTCCCCTACCATGACATTAACGTTTATGAGGAGTCCAGATCAGTTGTTTTTATTGAATGTCCCATATGTTCTGAATTTGTCTGATAATATCCCCATGATTAGATTTAAGTTAATCTGTTTTGTTTCAGGGAGTGGTGAGATTACCACAGGTAATGTAAGCATAACATTTAATGCACATAACCAGTTTGTCTCACTATGATGCTACATTTGATCACTGGGTTAAAATGCTTAATTGTCAATTTGACTAAATTAAATGCCCATTTATAATAAAAACTAGAGTGTTAGACTTATTGAAATATGCTAGACAGAGAAGGACAAGTACTATGTAATTTCACTAAATGTGGAAGATACTGATCAAAACAAATGGAATTAGGCTACCATCCCCCTCAGGAAAGACAAAAGAAATAAATGAATAAAAAAAATTTCTTTCAGAAAAAGTTCATTTTTAAGAATAAAATAATGGTTACCAGAAAGGAAGGTAGAAAAGGGGTCTCTAAATTGAATGAAAGGGGTCAACTACATAGTGATAGATGGAAACTAGAATTTTGGTGCTGAAAATAATGTTGTATTTTACAGGTGTTGATTTATAAACTGATTTATCTCAAATCTGAAAGTTATAAAAAATGTTATTTCAAAAAATTAAAACATGTTACATGCCTCATCTTATCATAGTTAAGGCATGGTATTCCCTCTGTAATTAAGTAACAGATGAAATGATTCTTTCTGATCAAGTGAATATCCTGCTCCCCAAAGGCCTTTCATCTTTCTAATCGATTTCATTGCCCACTAATGAATGGACTGCTTGAATCAATTTTTACATTGGAGGTCAGATAGCAGCCAAGCTGACCACATTTATTTTTGCTGGTAGCAAAGCCCTTTCACCCCACTTTTTTGTTTTTTAATTCTTTATATATTCATAGGTATATGCGTGTGTGTGTGTGTGTGTGTGTGTGTGTGTGTGTGTTGTATGTGCGTGAGTGCAGAAAAGCTGGAGTACAGGACAGAGGTGAGGGGGATGAAATGATTCACCAGAGACAGTGGGAAGCAGAATAGATGGATTTACTGAAATACACACTACTGAAGGGAGCAGTGAGTGAGACAGATGTCTGCTTAGTCATATGGGTCCTGGCCAGGGACTGATATCAGGCCTTAGAGGTGATAGGGCTGAGACTTAATCACAAATCCAAAGGGGAGGGCCCTAAGATTTTTTTTGTTTAACATACTGTAACCCATTACCACTTATTATTCTTTGATATTCCAGTTATTCTAATTTGATCAGTTCCTATTTTATTTTGACAAATTTCCAAATGTTTTATTATTTGTTTTAAAGGCACAAAATGTGTTTCAGGCGCATTCTGTATTTTCCATCTCCCAGGCTTAAAACCAATCATTTCTCCAAACATCCTTTCTTCCCGTCCCCCTTATCCAGGAAATGCTGTATACTGATGTTACCAGTTTTTTCCTGCAAATCACTTCACATAAGTTCACAGAAATATTTTAATGACCAAACAATACTCACTCTATTGTGTGCATACACCATAATATATTCAACCAGTTTTCTATGGACAAGCATTTGAATTACGTCCAATATTTGAATGTATTAGAAATCATACAACAAATAACTTTGTATTTTATATTATGGAAATACACATTTAGGTAAATTCCAGTAAGTGTCATTCTCTCTTGAATCTACCTTATTGACTTGTGTAGGTCATTGATAATCAAGATGTTGCTAAATTCAGCAGTCAATTATCCTCATCTCACTTGACCCCTTGGCAGCATTTAACACATTTATTTCTGCCTCCTTAAAATACCTTTTTTAACCTTTTTTAAAGATTTTAAAACTTTATTTATGCATAAAAGAACTGGGTGTAGGTCAGAGGTGCACAAGAGTGAGAGGATTCACCAGAGACAGTGGGGAGCAGAATAGGCAGATCCACTGAAATACACTGCTGAAGAAAGTAGTAGGGGAAGACAAAAAGAGGTCTGCTGTGCCATGTGGGTTAGATCCCTGGCTGGGATCGAACTCATGCTGCAGTAGATGGCAACAGCTTGATAGTGCTTTAGCCCCTGCACCACCAGCCCCTTAAAATACTTTTTTTTAAAAGATTTATTTATTTATGCATACAGAACTGGGGTACAGGCCAGAGGCTTCACCAGAGACAGGGAACAGAACAAGCAGATCAATGAAGCACACTGCTGAGGGGAGCAGCAGGCGGGTCAGGAGAGGTCTGCTATGCCATGTGGGTCACCTCCGGGTCGGGGACCGAACTCATGCTAAAGTGGCTTTGCTTCTTAGTGCTGTGTTCTAACCTGCTGCGTGACCAGGGAGGGCCCAAAATACTTTTTTTAAACTCAACTTCTAGATATTTGTTTTTCTCTTTCTCTCTCTAGAGTTATACTATCTCTACAATTAATGTCCTCACCTAATCTACCATCATCCTTGTCTATATTAATAATTAATCCCTGCTTTTCCCACCCAACCCAGGCTCTTTGTGACACAGTAGAACATTTCAAAAGGAAGTTCAAAGAGACAGACTGAAGTCAAGTCAGTAAAAGTAATTAATTAATTAAAAAAAAAAAGAAATTCTCTTCACATTATTTTCGAAAGCCTACCCTTTTCACTCAGAATGAAAGCTAAAGGCCTTACAATGGCCTATATATCTACACAACTTGGACTCCAATTTCCTCTCAGATCTCATCTCCAACTGTTCTTTCTGTCTCACTTGCCATTCTTTAATGTGTAAAAGTACACTACCCATTCCGGAATTTTGCACCTTTTGTTCACTTTGCCTAGACTACTCTTCCTAAATGTCCACATGTTTTCTTCCTTACTTTAATACTAAGTACAGAACTTTGAGAAATCTGTAACACAAGTTGGGCAGTTTCTCGGTTTTCGCAACAACTGTTTTAAAGTTAGGTTATTTTAGATCTGCCAGTTGCCACTCATCATCTTTTCAAATTTCCAAAATGTATGGCTGTTTTCTCCTCTTTTACCTGCCCTATCCTTGTGGGCCGATGGCTTGAACATAAAACCTCTTTACTGTACTTGTATAGCGTATGTGTAAGAGGAGACAATGTGATCTGTGTATCATTCTGCCATTTTAATACCCATCATGTTAAAATATGTATGCCAAGCCTCCCTGGTCATGCAGGGGTTAAAGTCTCAGCGCTACCAAGCTATCACCATCCACTAGAGCATGAGTTCAATTCTTGGCAAGGGAGCTAATCCACATGGCACAGCAAAGTCTCCCGTCCTGCCCACTGCTCCCCACTCTATCTGTGGTAAATCCTCTAACCTCCCTACACCTCTGGACTATACCAGTTCTGATATGCAAAAATAAATAAAAATAATGTTTAAAAAAAATACATATACTATAAAGCACATTTACTATAGAGCAAAATATTTTCTACAAGAACTAAGAAAGCATTGCAAACCTTAAAAAGGGTTTTATTTGTGGTAAGTCCAATTTACCTGGTAACAGAAAAGACTCCCCATATTTTTGGAAAAGCATTAACTCTATTCATTATTTAAAAAACCTCAAATCTAACTGATTAAAAAAATGACATTCCAGGAAACTTTTAAAATCTGAAATGCCTAAGGAGCTATTCCTATAGGAAAAAAATTAAGCAGCGGTCTTTTGCAATCACTCAGTCCTAAGATCTAATTGCTATAAGAGAAAAAAGCAGTTGCAAAGCATATTTTTATGTACTTTACATATAAAAATATATATACCACCAGGTAAAGCCAATGGAAAATATGTATCAATCAAAACAACAGTTTAAAAGTAAAACACATAAATATAAATTTATTATCATTATTGCTATAGCAATCTTCTACAAATCTGGTAACTATAAAAAAAACTTACCTGTCTAAGAATATATCTGGGAGTGGTGGATAGGTCTGCATGTCAGGCACTCGTTCATGGACTATAACCATAATGAAAGATGTAAACCCGAATACTATAAAAACATATATACAACTGAGTATGGTCTTCCAATACTCTGGGTCCAATCTGCGAATAGAATGTTTGTTTTTACCATTCATGTACTGGTACTGATCAGAATTCAAATCAGTGATGGGTCCATCACAGTCATGTGAAGGTTCCCCATTACACAGCCATTCTGCACTCTGAAGAGCACTGATGAATGGAGTCATGGAACCCATGGGGCTGTCGCTGCTGTATCCCATCTCTTCTAAAACATCAATATGTATTTTCTGCAATTTTCGGATTGACAGCATTAACCTTTTAATGTCCCCTAAGACTTTTATTTCCAAAGGAGGAGACCGGAGATCATATTCAGTCAATGTTAGCAATGTGATTCCATCAAGTCGGTGCTTATTGCATAAAATATCCACATATTCAAAAAAGCCTTCATCTTTCAGCCAAACAGCTACATGCTTGGTGGTCCATCGGCGAATGCAGAGCTGATTAGGACCAGCCATTTCCTCTTCCACACTCTGTCAAGGGAAAATAGGAGGAAAAAAAAAAAACCAGTTAACTTCAGTGTGTCCAAACAACTCAAACAACTGCTTTGAAGACCAATACACAGCACAAAAGAAGCAGTAATTCACCTACATTCACCTTCTAGAAAAAAAGCAAAAGAAACTAAAATTATTCAATAATAAGTGATATTCAAAGGTTAATATCTGCATATACCTAGGCATATAACCTCAACAGCAAAAGGAAGGCTAGTGACCATTAGAAAAAGCCTACTGTTGAGAACAATTGAGAAAAAAGTCCCTTTTAAATGAATCCTATAAAAAAAAAATTCAGAGATCTTCAAGTTCACGGAGTAAGTATCCCCCTCTTCATAGGCAGAAAAAGACAAAGCAAAACACAACAAATAATTTTAGAAGAGTTCATATGTCAAGTTTTATCTATTATATACATAACAATTCCTAACACAAATAAACAACTACATATAAAATTAAGTTTAATAGCCCAATTCTTAAAATACTTTGAATATTACATTATAGAATTGAATAAAGGATTTCTTTCTTAAACGACCATGGAGATTCTGTGATAAAATTTTAAAGACAAAATCGTCATTTTAGTATACCTATATCAAAATTTTATAGTAGTTATAAAAGTCCAACTATGTACTGACTTCAAAAGTATTAATAATTCTTACCATTTTGATCCCACATGACTATTTGTTTTTCCTTTAAAACTTCTTCTTGGACCTACCATCAACTTTATAAATTTTATCAGATGCACAAGGCAAAGGTCTCCATGGAAAAAATCTACTTTTCTCTAAAGTCCTTTTTCAGTTAGCAAAAGTGATTATTCTGATTTTTCAACTCCAAAGACAAAATCTGAGATGATTTATAAAAACAGCATAAGAAAACTAAAGGATTAAAAAAAAATCACAACAAGTATAGCTTTCCCTTTTTCTCCTCCCAGATGTGAGGAGAAAAAAAACGGTTAAGGAGTTATCTATCATTCCTTTATAAAATGAATTTTTCACTATGAAAAACCTTCTGTTTCCTTATACTGAGGAAAGCAAAAATGTATTCTTTCCCGCCATGAAGACTTACAATCACTTAAAAAAACATGAACTTAAAATATATGAGCATTACTTAGACCATCAAAAATGTTCAGCAGACAAGAAATACACTCATAAATTATTTATTTATTACTCAAAAGCAATCCTACTTTTGGGAAGGCTTCTGGAACAAAATCAATTTTGTTTCCCAATAAAGCTTTTAATATTGTCAGTCCACAAAAGCCTTTCAGTCTTAAAAATTAGCAGTATACCAATCCACAAAGAGTCCATGTTTTAAAAGTCAATTCTTATATACTCTAGAACTACAAAAACCCTTGCTTAGCTCTTCTTTGTAGCCCTATTATATCATCACCATCTCAAAGGTCAAGGAATTATAATTTACTTAATAGTGTTAAAAAGTCAGGTACTTTTTAACATGGGACTTATAGATAAGAAGTATATAATTTTATATCACTTATATATAAAATTCTATTAAAAGTAAGATTTTGCTGTTTTACTTCATACACATAGCCAGATGGTTTCATTTTACCCATTAAGTCCCCAAGGTATGATCTGAATAAATCACTTCATCCTTGAATAGCCAAGACCAGGCTACAAATTCTGCAGTTATGACCTAGTTAAGATTAAGAAGCCCCACTCACAAATTACTACTGAAATTAAAAAAGATTTAAATTTTTTTTACTTTGCTACCTTTCCTCTTTCTTTTATAGCTTACCACCAGTGGATTCCAAGTCACTCCCATTCTTGAAGCATTATAATTCAGTAGTTTGGTCTTACAGACTGCTCAAAATGATCTATCTTCTCTTACATGGATTTCTTTTTTCCCCGTCTTAGATCACCAGTTCTTTACACCCTTAATCAGGCTAACAAACAGACTTTGATGTTGGCATTTTAGTGGCTAGAAAGCATGAATTATCACACAAGAAAGGCTCCTGGAAGTCTTTGAGTCTAATGTAGCAATGCCCTAAAATGATGACACATTCCACTGCTGTGCTGCAACAGGTCAGGGCATGCTCTTTAATTGCATGTTACTACATATAGTTAGAGGCCTATATTTAGGTAACACTGAAAATATACATGAAAGAGGTATATTAACAGATGATAAAAGGATTTGGGGTCAATTTCATATTTATATTGTATCTTAGGAACTACAATGAATAGGAGACTGAATAAAGAATGTTAACTCTTGGTTTCATACAAATTCACAAAATTAAAAAAAAATCAACTTAGTAAATGGTTAAGAACAACTTTCAATTTTAATAAATAATATGAGCCAACTATCAGTTAAAGAGACTTCTGCTTCTAGTCAAGATGTATTAAGAGTTATGAGATTAAGTCTCCCATGCGAAACAACCAAAAAATAAGAGGAAATACTGGGCACCCGACAACAAAGGAGATCCCTCAGATCCCTGAGAAACAATAAGGTGAGTCCTACTGACCCAGTATACCACCTTGAGAGTTATGAAGCCATGAGTACAACAGCACAGAAACTGGAGTACATCTCACAGACTGATTGATTTGAAAAGACAGAGCTCAGAATCTGGGGAGATCAGGTGACTTATTACTCATAGAGTAGAATGCTAGAAAGATAAACAGAAAACTTGTCATGAACTGCATGTTTATATGCTGAAATCCTAACCCCAATGTGATAGCACAGAGGCTGGATTAGGTGTCATGAAGGGTCTAAATGGGATTAGTGCCTTTATAAAAGATACCCCAGAGAGTTCTCATATACCTACCAGTGGGAAGTCACAGCTTAAAAAAAAAAAGAACACCCAAAATTAGAAGGGGACAATGGATGAACCAGAAGTGTGTCCTCATCAGACACCAAATTTATTGATGTTTTGATTTTGGCCTCCCCAGCTCCAGAACAGTGAGGAGAAAAAAGTGTGTCAAGTCACACAGTCTATAATAATTTTGTATAGCAGTTCAAACAGATTAATATGAAACTATAGAAATCTACAGAGGGTGTATCTTGAATATTCATGATAATGTTTACCAGCACAAATTAAGTACATAAACCAAACAAGACTAAGGAAAGAACCTCTCAGAAAGATTAGAAGGTAGTACTAAGTACTTAAACAAGGCCAATAAAGGTGTCTATTCCAAACTGTCAGACTCAAAAACAAACAAAAATAACTCACAATCCATGGGGCATCGGGTAGGTTACACAGAAAGATCTTGCCACAGCAAGGCAAAAAATAAACAAAAAACCCTAAAGAAACAATTCTCTATAATGGTAATTCCTTGCCAACATTAGGCAATTTCTGCAGAAAATTTTAGTTGTCATATCTTGGGGATAAGATCATATAGAGAGCAGAGTCTAGGGATAATGTTAAACATTCTATAATGTACATGACAGTCTTTCACAACAAAGTAATCATCTGACCCAAAATGTTAGATACAGTATTGATACTGAGAAACCCTGCCCTAAAATTAAACATGCCAGCAGAACAATTCTTAAAATCAAATCCCAAAAGTATGAAATTGTTTTAGTTTAAAACTAGATCCTGGGTCCTCCCTGGTGGCACAAGGGGTTAAAGCCCAGCACTATAAATCTACCCACAGACACTGCAGCACAAGTTCAATATCCGGCAAGGGAAATGACCCACAAGGTACATCAGACCTCTCCTGTCCAGCCTGCTGCTCTCCTCAGCATGTATTTCAGTCAGTCTGCCTGTTCTGTCCCACATACTGGTGAATCCTCTCACTTCCCACACCCCCAGCACCTCTGGCCTGTACCTTATTTATTTTTTATAAGCATAAATAAATAAATCCCTAAAAAACTAGAGCCCACAAGAAAGCGCACAAATATAATAATATTCAGAATCCAACAGATAAAATTCACAGTACCAGACATCCAATGAAAGATTTCCAGGGAGAACCTCCCTGGTGGTTCAGGGGCTAGTTAACCAGACAGGGAGCTAAACCATATGGTGCAGCAGACTTCTGCTGTCTTGCCCACTGTTCCCCATAGCAGTGTATTTCAGTAAATCTACCTGTTCTGTTCCCCACTCTGTCTCTGAAATAAGCCAGATACAAAAGGATAATAAATATTTACGTTTTACTTAGATGGAGTGTCTTGAATAGTCAAAATCATAGAGATGGAAAGTAGAATAGTAGTTGCCTGGGATGAGGATGGAGGACAACAGAGTTATTGTTTCATGGGTGCAGAGTTTCCAGATGAAAAAGTTCTAAAAATTAATGGTAGCGATTCACAAAACGATATGAAGAAACTTAAATTATATCACTAAATTGTACATTTAAAAATAGTGAACATAAATTCGCTATGTATGCTTTATCATGATTTAAAAAAAATGAAAGGAGAAAAATGTGGATGTCTGTGAGAGGTAGAGAATTTCAAACTGCCTAGGAGATAGGTAATTATAAGGAAATGAGGAAGAGGAAAGAACAATGGCCACAAATTTTCCAAATTTGGTGAAAATTATAAACATATTTCTAAAAAGCTCAATAAACTCCAAAAATAAGAAACTCAAAATAGACTATACCAAAGCATATCATAATCAAATTGTTCAAAGCCACAGAAAATCTTATAAGCAAAAAAGAGAATATAGATGCACCACGTACCCAGGAACAAAAATAACAGTAGATTTCTCATTAAAAGCAAAGCAAGCTAGAAAACTGAAACATTGTAAAGTGATAAGGCGAAAAACTCACCAACTTCTAATTCTATATTCAATAAAGCTACTTTCAAAAGCAAAGGTAAATTATTTTTCAAATACACAAAAGCTGAAAAATTCATCACCAGCAGATCTGCATTACCAGAAATGTTAAACAGAAGTCTTTCAGGCAAAACAAAAATGCATCTGACAGTCTCCCCTATGTTTAAACCCAGCCCCACTGAAGGGCTACTTGTGAAGTTGCCTCCATCCCTATTGAGCTTGGCTGTGCCTGCAGTACCTAAAGTCCTTCAGTCCAGGAGCCTGCCTG